CGTGCTGCTGCAAAGCCCCACCGTCCCCAGCCCCTTGCATGGGGAGGTGGCAGCACCAGCCTCGTGGCCCCAGGGCACCCGGCCAGGACAGCCCAGTGCATCCCAGTCTAGCCCGGTCCAGTCCAGTTTAGCCCGGCTCAGCCTAGCGGAGCCCAGACCAAGCTGGTCTGAAGCATCTCAGTCTAGTCTAGTTCAATTCAGTCCAGTCCAATGCACCCAAGCCCAATCCAGTCCATCCCTGCCCAGTCTAGCGAAGCCTGGACAAGCCTGGTCCAATCTTCTCCAGCCCAGTCCAGTCCAATGCAGCCCAGCCCAACCCATTCTAGCCCAGTCCAGCCCAGCCCAACCCAGCGCAGTCCAGCCCAGTCCAGCCCAGCTCAACCCAGTACAGCTCAGTACCACCCCAGGGGCTCCCCCATGGTGTCCCTGCCCCTCTCCCCCAGGCAGTGCACAGACATGGGGGTCCCAGCAGGTGGGAAGGTGCAGTCCCACGCCAAGAGGTGATGGGGACCCCAAAACACCCCTGTCCAGTGGGGCTGAGCACCGCCCCCCCCCATGGGAGCCGGGGGGGGGGGGGGGTGGGGGGGCCGGGACACTCGTTCCATTGAGCCCCCATGTCCCCATGTAGGAGGGAGGGTCAGCCCAACATCACACCCCAGAGGAGAGGCAGCGAGCCCTATAACCTCCTAGAGAAGGGACAGGAGGCTCCACGTTGCAGCCCACGTCACCCCACGGCAGCAGTCAGGGCTCCCTCTCTCCACCCTACATCCCCCCCCTTGCAAGGGATCAGGGCTGGCTCTCTCCCACCCCACATCCCCCATTGCAGGTGGTCAGGGATGACTCTTTGCTCCTCCATCCCCAGCCCTGAAGGAGGATCCCGGACCCTTCTCCCATCCCACCGTCTGCAGCCACCTGCGCCGGCACAGTCGCAGTGAGGTCACGGCCACCACTGGCACCTCCAGGTGTGCAGGGCTGGGACAATCAGCCGGTCCCCCCCCCCCCCCCCCCCCCCCCCTCTTTTTTGGCGGGTCGGCCCCACCCCCCCGGCCCCCCCCCCCCGGCCCCACGCTGCCGTGGGGCTGAGCCAAGAGGGCCATGCAAGCAAACCAGAAGCAGAAGGCAGTGTCGCACGTCCCTCGGGGTTGCACGGGGACAGCCAAGCAGCCCAGGAGCAGTGCATGCCTCACCTGCGTCCCCCGCCGTGTGTCCCAGCAGGGTCGGATGCTCCCGGGGCATGGCTGGGTGCCCCCGGCCCCCTGGCCGCCCCCAGCACCGGGAGCTGTGACTCAGACTTTCCTGCCCGCTCCCATGCCGCCGGCCCGTGCTAATCTCTGCCACTCGCACACAGGGAACATGTGTCAGCCCCAATGCGTGCCGAGGGCCAAAGATAGGCAGGAGGCAGGACAGGCAGGGCATTGCATGGGGACACAGAGGGACAGGATGGAGCTGGGGATGGGGGACAGACAGACAGGGTGGAGCTGAGCATGGGGAGGACAGACAGAGCATTGCATGGGGGGACAGATGGACAGGATGGAGCTGGGGATGGGGGGACAGACAGGGCATTGCACAGGAGGACAGGCAGGCAGGATGGAGCTGGGGATGGGGGCTGAGCCGGGCTGAGCCCAGTGGGCTCAGTTCACCCAATACAGGGTGGCGAAACAGGGTGCAGGCCACTTGGCTGTCCCTCAGCGTGCTGCTCTGCACTGACTGTCTGTCCCTGTGCTGCTTGTCCACCCAGACAGGGGGGTCTGTCCCAAGCACCATGCTCTGTCCGTCTGTCCCTGCAAGCTGTCCTCCACATTGTCTGTGCATCTGTCCGTCCATCCATCCATCCATCCATCCATCCATCCACCCATCCCACACAGCGCTTGGTTCGTCTGTCCCCACACGCCTTGCTTCTCATCTTGGCTGTCCCTGCCTGTGCTGTCTGTCCATCCCCCCCATGCCATGCATCATGCTGTCTGTCTGTCCGTGTCCATAGTCCTCTGTGACAGCAGCCCCATGCCACCTGTTTGTCCCTCCATGCAATGCTCCATCCTGTCCGTCTGTCCTTCCTCACAGTGCTGCCTCTCGATCAGACCAATCTGCTCTGCTTCACCTCGCCATGCTCCTTGACGTCTGTCTGTGCCCCCCACGCAATGCCCAGTCCGTCCCCCCGTGCCCAACCCCGTCCTGTCTGTCCCCCATGCAATGCCATCACAACGTCATCCCACAACACAACCCTAACCGTGCCACGACACAGCCTGGTCATGCCAAGACACAGCCTGGTCATGCCAAGACACGGCCTGGTCATGCCGCGACACGGCCCAGCAATGCCACGACACAGCCCAGCCGTACCACAACCACATGCCACCTGTCCCCCCATTGCCACAGCCCCCCGCCACGTCCCAGCACAGCCTCAGCCCCAGCCTGGCCTTGACCCCTCATCCCGCGGTCGTGGCATCCCGGAAGGATGCAGCAAGTTACGGGCATCCCTCCACCTGCCTCAGTTTCCCCCCTCCGGTGCCACCTCCCTGAGGGGACGGGGGGACCAGTTTTGTCGTGTCCCACCCCTAGCCACGCAGCATCTCACAGCTCTAGCTTCACCCACCTACGTGCCAGCTGGCTCCCACGGGGGTGTGGGGCAGGGACCAGGAGCAAGCAGTGGATGCCAGACCCCCAGATGTGGGGCAGGATGGTTTGGGGACGGGGGCACCAGTCCCAGTTGCTGGCCCGCAGCGATCCCCAGGACCAAGGCATCGTCCCATGGGACTGGCACCAACCCCCTCCACCACCGTCCCCACTGTCCCCAGCCCCGGCCACGCCACCCCTGCCCCGTGTCCCCACTGTTGT